ACTGAAGCTTAAGACATCAGAGGTCAAATTTAGGGAGAAAAGAAAGGTAGAGAATTTTAAATCCCATAGCCTGAGTCAAAGTTGGGATATATCGTTTGGAGACAGAAAGCTTGGATTTGAGTCATTGCTCTGCTAATTAGTAGCCACGAGATTTGGAGCAAGTCAAAGAACCCCATTGGGCCTTGGTTTCTACATCTGGAAACTGGGGCCAGTATTATTTAGCTCCTAGAGGTGACTTGGGAATCAAATGAGATAATGGATTTTAAAATGCTCTGTAAACTGAAAAACATCCCAGAAGTCAAAGAGGGGGACAGGAGAGTCAAATCACGTAGCAGATGATGAGTCAGAAGGACAGCACAGAGCCAACATGCTTCTTGGGCTGTCTGCATCATTTAACGTGTCAAGACAGTTGTTGGCTTAGCCCTTAGCTTGAGTCATCCTGATTAACAGGTGCCTGGCCAGCCAGCAGTTTAACTCCAAGCTGATTGGATGACTGAATGGGGCGGAGCTCCTGAACTTGGCCAGTGACTGGAGAAAGCTAAGATGGCAGCCAAAAGAGAAAGCAACTTTCTCCATCCAACCCAAGGATGACTGGGTCATCGACGAAATTCATCCTACAGTCCGCCTCCAAGGGCACGTGTGTAACAAGTCTTCCAGGGTCTCAGTGGTAATGAAGAGGGCACTCCAACAAACAAGCTCATTCAGGGTATGAATTATTTATGTTCATAACATGCAAGTTTACACAGATCCATTAACAAAAATTACATCTGGCAACCACTTCTATACAATTACAGTAACTGTGATTTTAAGTAGTGACTGAGGTAATAAAAGAGAGCAGCCATTCTTAAGGCTGCTGAGTATCAATCCCTGACCCCGACTGCTGGACACTAGATAAATGGTCAAGAACATGATCTCTGGAGACACATCTGGTTCATCCTAGCTCTGTCACCTTGGGCCACTTGCTTAACCTCTCTGAGTCTTAGTTTCTCCAACTGTCAAGTGGGAATAATAATAGTAGCTGCTTTTGAAAGAGGTTGTTAGGATCGAAGGAGATGACCTTTGCAAGATGTTAAGTACAGTGCTTCTCTCAGAGAAAGCAGTCCCAAAATTGTAGATAGCATGTCTACTTCTACAGCCACTTTGGAATTCCATCTTAGATCTAGTCCCTTTCTCACTGTGATCTGGAGGATTCTAGACTGTGAAAGCTGTAAGCACCAATTAATTAAGACTATTGAGGATGAGGGGATTTTTTTTTTGGAGCCAGAGGGTGTCTTGAAGGTTCACAAGAAACTCTTTTGAGAGACAAAGAGGACCCAAAATTAGAAAAGCTCTAGGTCACCCATGAGCTCTTCAATGAATCCATTTTTATCTGATTTTTATACTGGAGTTCAGCGTAGGATTTTGCTGGATGGAAAGTTTTCACTAGTAATTCAACCTCTTTATTGCACAAAAAAGAGAAGCCGAGACCTAGAAAGAAGCCACTTGTCCAGGGAGACCTCGTGAATACATAACAGACACAAGACTGTCTTTTACATGTCCAAACATTTGTTAAGCTTAATAATTAGTCTAAATTATTAATTATTAGATAATTAATATTCCCAATGCAACTGTTCTGTCTTTAATCAGATCAAAGTTACACTCAGTCCAATGTGTTCCTTCTCCTGTGAGATACAGGCTGAAAAGACATTATCTCAGGTCCAGAGAGATGGGGAATCTCCCTTAGATGTAAATACCTCATGCCTGTGATCTGCAGTATAACCCAAGAAGCTTCACCTCCTCTTGCTTTGCCGTGGCTTTTATTTTCAAACTGATGGAAGAGCAAACCAAGCCAAATTAAAAGAGAATGAGGCAATAAGGAGGGAGGGAGAAAAGAGAATGCGTAAAACCTCAAATTGAAAGAGTTCTAGATATGTATACATATACATATGCATATGCATCTACATACACATACACATACACATATAGTGTGTAGCCCCCAGGAACGCCATTAAGTTATCATCTTCCTGTCCTCATGTGCATCCTCAGAGCTGGCAGCTGTTGAGTATCTGAGCCAAGCCCTGTGCCAAGCACTTTGCATATGTTTCCTCATTTGAATGTCTCAAAGATCCTATGTGGTGAGCATTATTAGTCCCATTTTACAGATGAGGAAAGAAGTACAGAGATTCTAAGTAAATAGTACAAGGTCACAACCAAAGGGCAAAGCCAAAATTAGTCACATCAGTCTGACTCTAAAGCTCTTGCTCTTAAACACGGTACACAGTGGACTCGTAGACCCTATAGGCACATGCAGCTTATGGAGATTCAGCTAGATATGTTCCAACAAGCAAGGGAGCAAAACAACCAGAGAGAGAAATAATCCAATAGTGTAGGTGGTTCCAACTGTCTTTCTAACCACTGACCACGGACCCCAAGGTGAGTGTCAGATAGAAGATGTGCTCTGATGGTCAGTTCACGGCTACCAGCATTATCACTACTACACAGAGAGAGTGATTCTAGACACATTTGTCCATTTCACCTAAATGTAACTTAGCTATGTCATCTGAGGCTCCAAGAAGCAGCAGTGGTCTGGTCTAATATGGGGTAGAAAATGGCTGTGATTGACTCCTGCTCCCTCCAACAAGGGCAAGTCCTTCTGAGGGATGTTGAAGGGAGCTCTTGACCACACCCAGTTTTTTTGCCTGTGTGCTGACTTTAGAACCCAATCCCCTTAGAAGTTATGCTTCCTGTTTCTGGACCAATGCAGAAGAGCCAGCTTCTGGTCCTCACCATGCCACCAGCCTGGAGGGAGATGTCTTTTCACTGTCTGCCAGATGACGGGTTGGACTAAGTTGAAGCCAGGTGGTGAGGAAGCCCGGACCTGGTATTTGGATCTGGCCTCCAAAGGCTGCAGGAACTGGATTAAACCAAGATGAGCTCTGCGAGGGGACTGTCCATACCCACAGGAGATGCCAGGTCTCACACAGGAACTAGAACACGAACCCTACCCTTCCCGGAACCATGTTGTTTAGCCTCTTTCTGGGTCTGTGGGGAAATGAAAGGGGACAGCTCTTGGCCTAGAGGCACAGCTGCAGCTGGGCTGGGGCTCGGACTTGGACCTGAGGAAACAAAGACAGGCTGCAGAACCTCTGTCCACCCACACCAGCCGCCCCTCCCAACCCCGGCAACCAGCCACTTGGTAACTCATAATCTCGATGACGGAAGAGAGGTGGGGAGCCAAGAGAAGGAACAGGATCCTCTCCAGCCAACTGGGGTCTGAGCTGTTGAATCCAGAAGTTTATTTTATTAAAAATAAAAAGCGATAAGGAAAAAAAGTTAACCAGGGGTGATAATGGAGGGCCTGAGACTGCGCATGGTTGGGCCGCCTGGTGGAAGATGAGGACCTCCTCCAGCGGCCGGTGATTTTGCCTTCATCAAGCCAACAACCAGCCGCACTGGCTTTGTTTCCTTCAAAAGAATTGACCCGTTTTATTCAAACAAATACACCAATTGTTTGAATGCCAGACAACACAGCCTTCGTGTTCTCCTGCAATTTAGCAAAGTTTCTCGTGTAACAGCTTTGCATGCCCGCCCAGGCTGATGAAACATACGACTTAATCATCTAGGGCCCTGAGCCAAGGTGATTGCTGGAGGCGACAAACACAAAGGTCTATGTGTAATGAAGGTCCATAACCCCGTGGAACTCAGTAGAAAGCAACGCTCCTTGGGGATGGACCCTGTTAAGGGGTTAGATCCTCCCCCCAGTGAAGGTTCAGTTGTAAATACTGAAAGAACCTAGAAAACAGGCCGTTCTACACCGAACCACTCTGCAGCCGACACCGCACTTTGTAATGCGACACTGCCTGACTCCTGCGGTCTGCCCCTTGGAGTGGGTCCCTCTGCCCCTAACCAGACATGCTCTGCAAACCAGCCTGCTTAAGGAACCAAACTCTTCTCTGCCTCCAAAGGCTACGGCAGCTACCCATTTGCTACTAGTACACTTATTCTCCAGCTTTAGGAATTACTATATATTTAATATTAATATTGTTACACCTATCTTGTACCTGTGAACTATAATACAACCCAAGAAACTTCATCTCCTGTTGCTTTGCTTTTATTCTCAAACTGGTTTCATAAGTCTTTCCTGCTCTTTCCAGGCTAAGAGTATCTTTTATTTCCCTAAATTAAGAAAATTCAGAGGATCTTAAAGGAGGGTCTCTTAAAGGTCCATCTTCCCACTCGATGTTTGGTTCCCTGTCCCAGAGTCTAGTGCAGGACTGGCTCACAGTTGGCGCTCAGTAAATATTTGGCAACGTAATCAGGAGGTTCGTTAAAAGACTGACTGGGGCCTGCCCTGAACAAAGGCAGCTTCAGGTCCTAGCTCTGCTTCCTTGACCAGACTAGAGCTACAGGGACTTTCCTCATCGTCTAATAAACACACACACAATTGTAAGCTCCCCAAGGCCAGGTTGGAATTCCCCCCTTCCCAGAGCAGCCCCAGACCCAAGACCTCAAGGGCAAGTGGTTCGTTCAGCCGGGAGGCGTCCCAGGAAGCACCCTTAGGGGGTTAAGGAAGTAAGATGGGAGGGAAGGCAGCCAAGACTGGACGTGTTAATGAACAACTGAGTTGCATTCCCAGGGAGGACCTCTGGGAGAAAGTGGGGAACATGCCCTAGAGTTGCCCCCGCAGAGGGATATTTTCTACCAACTCTCATCTGTGAATCGAAGGCTCCTCCTGCAGGTATCAGTCCCCCGACTGCCCTGCTCACGGGTGGAGCATGCTGCTGCAGCCCAAGAAAACCCTGAGGCAGAGTCATAGGTGCCCACGGGAAGCAGCTGGTGGGCCAGGGAAGGGAGATACCTGAAGGAGAGGAGCAGAGCACTGACAGCCGCTGTAAGAGCCAGGCTCCCCAAGGCTGCCAGCGGTGCCCGCCATATAGCTGGTGTTTAATAAATAGCTGGTTTTAATAAATGACTGCATTCATTCTCTTGGTTTATAAAACTATTTTTTTATTTTTTAAAAGGAGGACACTTTCTTCAAAGGAAATCTTAGAAGAAAAGTTTAGAATGTAAAAGCAATTAGAGAGGAGGTGCCTGATGGAAAGACCGAAGCCCCATCGCCTACCCCAGCGTACACTGACAGCTATGAGGAACATTCAGTGTGCCTCAGAACACAGCCCTGATTTAATTCATCCCCCTCACTTTACAGACGGGATCACTATGGGGCCGTGTCTCTGGTGACACCATGAGCTAGTGCTGGAAGCCAAAGGCAGCCCAGGAGAGTTGGTCGAACACTGGATCGCGCAGCAGGAACCTGCCCGGGAAGCACCTGGGAAGCCCTTGCTGAGGACTGGATGCACTTCCCCCAAGACTGGCAGGAGAGAGAGAACCATCTGTTGCAAAGTCATGACACCTTGACCATCTCCAAGACTGTAAGTGATTAAGTTTGTCATCATTCACATCCCGTCGCTCCAGAACCAGATGTTAGCAGCCAAGGAGGATGTCAGCACCTTTCATTGTCACCATCACTGAATCCGCTTTCCACAGTTGCCAGAGGACTATCATCTTGGATGGACAGACTCTACACCCCATGAGGAATTAGATCCCCTCTTCCCTGGGAGGGTGTGCCAGACACATCTTGACGGGGTAGCCTGGACCAAAAATCCTGAAGAACTTAAAAACACAATTTGTGCTCAAAAGCCAAGTTCTAGGCCACTAAACTGGAGTGAACTCACATCTGGACAGAGAGAAAAAGATTGAGATGTGTAAGGAAAGATTTCAGAGTTGACTTCCGGGAGTCTTGGATTTCCTGTGGCAAAGTTTGGATCCACGCATGGTGACCTCCTCTGAGTCTAGGTCTCTTGCAGCCAAGACTGAAAACTCCCAGCTCAGTAGCTTTTCTTCCGGTCTTGACATCAGTCTGAGAACCAGGTGAGGCAGCCAAGGCCACCTACCACTTTTCCCAATGCAAGAGAGGAATCCTTCCTCCTTAGTCTCCTGGGAGCACCTGAACCTTTCCTCTATGGACCAAAAAGAGACAAAATAATAATAATAATAAGGAATGATTTAGTGTGAACTCCAGTGGATATTAACTCTCCATCTGTTCTCCAAAGAGGAGCACTCAGTGGATCATTCCAAACTCCTCAATCTCACAGATGGAAATCTGAGTCCCACGGAAAGGTAAGTAACTTGCTTAAGATCTCACAGTCCTTGACTAGAACATCTCAAACTGAAGTATCAGTTTTTTTCTAATTTCTGCTCCAGTGCCTTTTTTCTACATTAATTTTAAGTAAAATCGACATTTTTTTCCCTTTAGCTCTGCTTTTTTTCTTTTCTTTCTTTCTTTCTTTGTTTTTATTTATTTATTTAATTTTTAGCTCTGTACCTGGTACATAAACTCACATCAATGAAGGATGAAGGATTGTATGCATGTATGAATGAACCTCCCCCCTGAGGAAAAGATTGAGACTTTTTTTTAAAAAAGGCCTTTATTTGGACCTTCTGAGAGCTTCCGAATGGCATGAGCATAAGCATGTTAGACAAACCGCATTCTCAGTAGAAGCTGACGTTGCTAGATGGAGGGCGATGCAGTTGAGCGTTCAAAAGTAGAAAGAGAGATGGGGAGCGAGCAGCATTTGGCAGCATCTGAGAAATCCGCAGCTAGGGCACCTCCTCGGAGGGTTTGTGGACCTCTCCCATGACCCGGGCAGAAGTTCATTCAGAGCTGGCTTCGTGGCAAGGTTGAAATTATCTCCACTTCCAAAATTCTGTAATCCAGTACTCCAACTGACTGAAAATTAGAATATCTCTGTTACTGGCCATGGTCACATCTACTCACTTAAAACACTTAGCCTGATATGATTTGGGCGAGGGGGTGTGGGGTGGGGAGGGTATTTTGATACAAAACAGCCACAGTGATTTCCACCTAAGAGAGAAGTCTCTAGACATCAGTCTATCTCCATTGTGACCTGAGCTTGTCTTTCTTTGGCTTTGCCTACTTTTCATTAGGACTGGAGCATTGAAGCAAGCAATAGGCTTTATCTTTGTTTATTTAAATTTGGCTATTTACTAGCTATTCTTTTTCAAATAAAACAGGCTCACTGCAAACACAATTTTTTTCAAACAACACAGACACTGACAATCAAAAATAAAAATAAAAATCACCATCCACATCTTTATAAGCGTTCTTCCTTTCACTTTTCTGACTCCATCGTCCAATATTTTAACCTCATGGTAGTGCTCATTTAATTCTCACAAAATCCCCACAATTTGGCAATTATTATCCCCATTTTACAGATTGAAAACTGAGGCTAAGAGAAGTAGTGACCTACCCAAGGGCATGTAGCACATGACAGAGCTGGCTTTCAATTCCACATTTACCTTATTCCAAAGATCAAAAATTTAAAGTTTAAAAAATATATATAGCAGTCACTTTTTATACCTTCACTATGTGCCAGCTACTGTGTGAAATGCCTTATATATATTATCTCAGATTTTACAGCAAATTGATAAAGTAGCTTTTATTTGTTCCATTGTTCAGAAATGTAAAGCATAGAGGGGTTAAGTGACTTGCCCAGAATCACACAGCTGGTTAAAGGCAGAGCCAGAAAGCAATTCAGGATTTCAGACACTTAAGTCCGTGCTCTTAAAGAGGAACAACCTGATACCCTCCATTCCGCCAGCTAAGACCGATGTATGTGTATATGGTGTCATACTCTGCATACCGTTCTGTAACTTGTTTGTTTTTCTCATGGGGAAGGCTAGTGGTTTTTAATCCTTGCCTTTAAACTTTAAATGGCATGGCCCAATCACGATCCCTTAGTCCAACAGATGACGCCTGCCCCACCTGCTGGCCCCCGCTCCTCGATCACGTCCACACGCTGACCACTCTTCTCAGCCATCTTTCCCTCTGTCCCTCCTCGACTCTCACATTGGCCTCACCTTCAGGTTGTCATCTTACATCTACCTCTCAAACCCAGTACTGCATGTAGCCCCACGGACCCAGACCTCAGGTTTCAAACAAAACCTCGTTCTTGTGATTTGGCCACGTCTGACCACTCTAGTGAGCCACCTTGACTCATCCAGCCTGCTCCCCAATACTTGAACCCTTAACACAATTCTCTGCCTTGCAAGCACTTGCCACTTTCCCAAGATTGGCTCTGGCTGAATAAACACATCAGCAACAGAAATTTCATCTGATAACCGCCAAATTTCCTGTAGTTGAAAAACAATATCCAAAGTTACCACCTCCACTTAAATAAGGACATGAGTGTTTTTTGGTAAATATGCACAGACCATATGACCCTGAGGTTGAATTATGTCTGTTACTCTGCTTGAGGTGATCTCACCATGTGGCTTTGGGCAAGTCACTTAAGCTCTCTTATCATCAGTTTTTCTATCTGTCAAACAACAGGTATAAATTGATGGTCCCAGGCCCTGGCAAACTCTGAAATTCTATTATCCTATGATTAAAGAAATGACAAGCCTGATAGATATTACTCCTATCATTGTTTTTGTCCAATCATTAACCAAACTAATGAGGCCATTTGTACAATCCAACTGCAAAGTTCATTGGGGGAAAGGAGGAGGTATCGGGGCAGTTGGACATTCCAGGACATCACTGGGGGCCAAACATTAAGTTGATGGTAGTGTGCTGGCAACAGAGAAAAGAAAAGAGGGGGATCCTTGCAGAAATGGGGTACACTTTGGAATGAAGGAGCACTTTTGGTGAGTAGAAAACTGTTATCTGACTGAAGCCAAGATGAAATCTACTTTTTGAAAATGTGCTTTTTTTTTTTTTTTAAGTTTGGCTCAATCGCTTGTTTTTCTCTATTCCTTATGTAATCTTGTGGGATGCGGCGTCAGAAAGTCATAAATCATTCATAGTGCTGTGGAAAAAAAAAATCACTTGTGTAAAGCAGATACAACTTAAAATGAAATGGGAGAAGTTTTTGCATGAAACCCAAAGAAAAACATAATGCGTGGTTCATAGCCCATGCTGACCACTAATTCCCACAATTGCTATGTGGCTTGGTCGTTCATTTCTGGCTTCCTGATGTGCTTTATTTTAAATAGAGACTGGGTTAAAGATATAGCCTGTCACAACTGTACTGCATTTTTCCAAGAGCCTTAGAAAAGAGGCTGTAGTCATGATATTTGCAGATACGATTGAAGTTGACACAAGAAAGCTCCCTTTTTGTCCAAAAATCTCTTTTTTAATATGCCCATAACTGTTGTCCATAATTCTATGGGTTAATTAAATTCTCTTTGTATATATACTCGGCCTCAAAACCTACATGCAAAAAGAAAAAAAACAAATAGCCTCCAGCAGAAGTAACCCATAAAGCTAACTCTCAAATATTAATACCTTAAATAAATTGGTTTAGCTTTATAATTTCTAATGTGGCAGCTAGCTATGATGAGGCTTCTAATAAACAAGAAAATTATGGGTTTTTAAAAATCTCTTTCATATTCATTAACTCATTCGAGCTTCACAGAAGTAGCAAGGACAGGTATGTATTCATTCTTTAATCCATTCCTACAGCAAACTTTATTGACTGTCAAGCACTGGGTTAGGGTGTTAAAAGTACAGACAAGATGACATTGCTTGCCCTTGAGCCACTCGCAGTGTATGGGGGAAACTCTTTTTTTCTTTTCATAAATTTATTTATTTAAATTAGTTTTAAGTATACAGTACATTTGGTTAGACATCTATAATTTTCATAACTCTTATCAGAGCCGTATGGGAGAGACTACAGTTCTTTTGAACTGCTGATGGCAGAACAAGTAGCTACAGGTGGAAATTCCATGGGAGTGGATTTCAGCCTGCATAAGGAAGAGCATCCTAATAGTTAAAGTTCCCCAGTTAGAAAAGTTGGTGAGTCCACATTGCCAGAAGTGTTCTAGAAGGATCTGGAAAACTCACTCTCAAGGTAGCTGTAGGAGACATTTCTGGATGGCCTAGGTGATTAGCCCAGATCATATATACATGTCCTCCCAGTTCTGAGCCCCAAAGTTCCTCAGTATTTATCATGGTTCATTTGTTTATCTGACAGACATTTAGTGACTGGTGCTGACTTTAGGACCATCTTAGCTAGGTTTAAATCCCACCTCTGCCACTTTCGCACAGTAAACTCTGGGCGACTTAGTTTATTCGTATCTCAGTTTCCTCATCTATAAGATGGGAATAATAATAATTCATGCTCCTAGAGTCGCTATGAAGATGAAAGGAGGTGATTTATGTAAGTGCTTTGGAACAGTGTCTGTCACAAAACAGACAGTCAAT